ACAAAGGGGCATTATAACACAAACATTAAGCTTTAAAGAGTCATTTAGAGCAACGTGCAAACCGCCAGACCGCCCACTCTGCCTTCCCCTGCTCCCACTTACGCTGGGAGAAATCAGGAATAACCCAGCCGGTCTCAGTAGAGATTTGTCACTGAAACACACCAACACAAGTCACAGATTTTCTAAATTTGACTTGGACAAAAAAACCTAGGACTCATTCATCACATCTTAGGGTATTCAGCATTGACTTTAATTAAAAACCTCTTCACCGTGCCAAGGCACACGCAGACGCAAACTTCCGTGCTCAGTGTCTGCGATGCAGCGCTCGAAACAACATTGTCAGTGCGAGGTACGTGCACAAAGAAGGACCTGCCTGTAAAACCTCCTCTTGTTCTGCAAACTGCCTCTCTCTGCACTGCCCCAATCTACCATCGTGCAAAAAAAAACCACAGTCAAATCAATATATTCTTGGGAAGGAAGGGGGCTGGTAGACTGGTTTTTGAAGGCAAGCCAGAGAATATTCTAAATGGGGGACGTACAGTGTGTTTAAACTGCTGTGATAATTCTGCATAAAGAGATGTTAAGGATCTAAGCTCCTTGCTGTAGCATGCCATGTGTCCCTGAATAAAATGACTGCCATGCAGGCTGTTAGCAGAGGAATGCGTAAACAGACAATGTATCCTTGCATCAGTTCCACAAAATGTTGCACAACACAAATGCCTCTCGATGTGTCATTTCCTGCCTGGCCACCAGCCCAGCTCCTGACAGCAGTCAACAAAAAAAAAACCAACACAAAACCAACAGACAACCAAAAAAAAACCTACAAAAAAAAAAAAAGAAAGAAAGAAAAGGGGGAAAAAAAAAAACAACAAAGAAAAACAATAATTGAAAAAAAAATGCTGAAAGATTTAAATCTGTTCTACGCCAAAGCACATTCCACCAGCTCCAGACTAATCCCTGCACCCTCTGCCTTTGAAAGAAAAGCGGGAGAACTTCCTAAAAACTGTTACGGTTTTAAAGTCGAGGAATCTCAAAAATCTCAATCACTTATCTGCGTTTTATAAGCCGGGTCAGCCAAACAGTTAATACAAAGGCTGAGCAGAACCCCTGGCTGGCTCTTGCTGCCTTCTGCAGCTCTCACAGACAAAAAGGCGATGTTTGCTCATACCTTTCACCACGTGTGCACCTTGCGAGCTCCAGAGGCAGAGAAATACTCGGGAGCTGAATGAAACAGAGCAGTTTTTCTCCTACTGAAACACTTCAGTTCAAAGCTCAGAACCACTTTTCCACTCAAGCTGACAGAGAAAACTTTAAAACTAAAGTCTTTGGAAGCCAGGCAAAATATAAAAATATATAGACTTCTCCTTCCTCCTTCCTTGTTATTTCTCTCATGATGGGGTTTCTGCCAAAAGCAGCCAGAAAGGAGGATGTCTCCTATTTGAAAGGTACCAATATGAAAGGGCAAATAATTATTTCTGCATTTGTAATGAGGCAAGGCAAAGGCATTGAAGAGGGACTTAGGTGAAGGTTTTGAGAATTTTTGTTCTGTGTTTTGTTTTTTTTTTCTTCTTCTTTTGATTCCCTTACAGTGCTATCTCTTGGTCAGTTATGACCTTATGACACCTTATTTATCTGGAAAACATCTTTCAGCCCTCCCAGCTGGAAGGCAGCTCTGCTGGCTAAGATGGGCATATGGCGGAGTTTTTATTCTGGACATGAGAACAGAAAAATCTCTGCAGGACTTCTCAATGATTCCCAAAGACCTCATAGAACCCCTGTGACTCCATCACTCAAAGTGCAAAGTGCTGCCTTAGTCCAGCACAAGGACTGTGCAACACAGTAGATATCCCTGGATGGTAATCTTGATATCAAGATTAGACAGAAATAGATCATTAAAGACAAATATTTTCCAAGGAAAAATAATCAGCCCACCTTTTCTCATACATAAACAGGCAGGTTTTCCTAACAGAGCAACCTGACATCACTATCTCTATTGAAGTATTTAAAAATAATAACAGAGAGCATCAAGCTTCTACAACCATATGTTTAGTATGACTAAATGGCACTTAGATCTAAGAACTTGACTTTCTGAAGTGCTGAGCACCCACAACACCAACTGGAGTCACTGCATGCCATGACTGCTCAGCACGCTTCAAGCCAGGCTCTAAATGATTGTGATATCTGTCATGGTATTGTGGCTGCTCCTACTGCTGCTGGAAAGCAGCATTCATTCACTCGAGTCAACTTGCCAACAGAAGGTCAGAGGGCCTTGCCTATAAACAAGCCTTACAAATTCACGATCTAAAGCATGATGTCATGTCTTAAAATGATAAGCCGGCAACAAAGTATATGACATTTTGTAAAGATGGGCATAATTTTATGTTTACGCTACTTAGAAGGAAGGTTCTAATAAGTCATCGGTCGTGTTCCTTTAAAGGGAAGTTTTATAACTGAGATGAATCACAACTGCAAAAGATCAAAGTTAGAAAACATCAATGATGCCATGGGGTACTTTTTAATCTTGTAATGAATGATGATCATGTGCTCTTATGAAGTTGGTCCAACTGCCAACGCCAGATGTGTATATTAAGAAAAAAGTTGTTTGTGATGTGACAGCCCCGGTTGAGCTGCCAGAGAGAGGAAAACTAGGATAACATGCTTGAGATGTTGAAGTGAAATACAGATCCTGGCTGAGAGGGGCACTATTTGCTGATACATAATTTGTTAGGAAAAACACATTTGTGAGCAGAGCCACACATTGACTTGAATTCCTTATGGCCCCCAACCACCTTATTTTCCTTATACAACATAAATGCCAGATGCAACTCTTGAATGATAACTACCAAACAATAATGGATCTACACAAGTGCAGGGGCTCTCAGAAGGAAGCAGAACATAAGTGAAACTCCCCCAGACTACTGGAGCTACTTTTTCCCTGAACATTCAAGTTTGATAACTAGTCACTCTGGAGATATCACAGCCTTGAAAGTATCAAAGTGCAATAACAGAACCAAACTGACCCCAGAGTAGAACTTCACTAAGTATTTAGCCATAATATTGAAATACAAATGGACATACAAATTTGACACTCTTTAAAAAAAAATTAAATATTAAGAAAGATACAATAATTCCATCTAGGCTATAAGAACTAAGTTATTAAGCATTCCTAGGTTCACCTAAGCAATGACAATAGCAGGCAAGAATCATGTACAGAGGCCTTTCAGGTTTAAACTAAAAAGCTCCAGCAGAACTTGGAAATCTTATTAAGCTATATGAACACAGCCTCACTTGTAATTCTCTGGTGACCAAAACAGTTGGTCCCAACGCAAGTAGGTTCCCTTTCTGTGCTACACAGGGTAGTCCATGCTGTTCTTCACACCATTTTCAAACTGCTCTGCTCTTTCACAGAGGTTGTGTCCTCTGCTGGGAGATTTCCTCTTTTGCAGATGCCTCAATACGTACATGGAAGCAGCCACCATATGGGAATGGCTGAATGATATATAATTTATTCTCTGGTTTTTACTTCATGAATGCAGGTTGTCCAGTGTCTCTGAGTAAGACACACAGAGTACCAGCAGTAAGTGAAAATGAAAAATGGGAATGGATTCAGCTTGGGACAGAAGACCGAACAAAAATCCCCTTGCTGTGACAGATGGACACCTCAGCTGTGAGCAGGCAGCAACATAAGTATCTATGTAATTAAATTTATCCTTGGCTATTTGATTTTTCTTTTCTGTTATTCAAGGTGAAACTCTACAGCCTGGACAGTTCTTACAGAAGTCATTTCAGTTCACGTCTCTCAGAGTAAGAGGAGGTGACACAGCAGCATGTTTTAGCACAAGAAACACTAAACTGCATGAATTCTGTATATGCCTTTTCTACTCCTCTGTGGTATTTTATACAAAACTCCACAAAAGAACCTCCTTAAAGGTCTCATTTGTATGCACAGATCAAAAGCAAAATAATTATTTGAGATGCTTCCATTACATGGATTTTTTTTTAATGTGGTTATTCATAAAATAATTCTTAATCTTTAAATTTAACTTAAATACAGCTATCCAATCATTTTAGAATGAGTTGTTCTAGTTAGATTAATAAAAATGTTCAGAACCAGCTCATCAGTGATACCCATAGGATGTGAGACTGGCTACCAGCTAAATGTGCTAGAAAGAGAGGCAGCTGTATAAAATATGATGGATTAACCAGACCTCACTGTATCTAAAAGTAAGTGCTGCCCATAAAAGAGTCAGAACATGACAAAACACAATTGCCATAAAAATATAGCCAGTGATCATTTTAAATAGAGTCTTAGTAAGTTAGGAAGGTGCAATCCTATGACATAAAGATGCTGAGTGAAAAGCTGCTGGACTATGTTTAAGTAAAATCTACTTTCTGTGCACAAATAAGAAACAAAGGCCACGCTGTTGATAGCCTGTTTTTTGTTATCTTTCCTTGGCCCTCAGGGGTCTATGATGAGTCCATAGCTGAAAACCAATTTCAGGTATGATAAGATTAACCAGGTGCATTAATTATCTGATGGCAGAAGAATTCAAAGGCAAACAAAAAAGCACTATATTATATTTTTTTCTGTGTGCTACGACTGATCCTGAAAGATCAGTCTCTTATTTTGTTCTAAATGTTTTCTGTTGGAAGCTTACAGAAGTTTAGGGAATGCAGCACATTGTAGGATTGTATCTATTATGCCTAAATCAGATTATACATAAATAGAGTGGGTTTAGTTCTCATTTACACTGGCAGATAATGTATCAAGACCTTGATGTGAATGAAAATCGGATTTGTCATTGCCCAAATTCAGCCAAACACTTAAGAGTGTGTTTAATGCAAGTATGTGTGTGGTCCAATAGACTCCAAATGAAGCATGCACTTACTATTTTGCTGAACAAGAACCAGTGTTTGACAAAGATGCATTTTTCATTTATGGGTCTCTGTTACACAAAATTAAGCAGACGTAAGTGTAAAAAGAAGAATATAATACTCACTTCTTGGCTCCCTTGGCCCATCTACTGTAACCTTTATAGCTCTGTGGTATGTAGCAACTTGGGGGGGATTTGTCAGGACAGTTATTGTCAAAGTAAAGCTCTTCCCTACAAAGGAAAAAACAAGGAATGAGTGATTACAACATGAAAACAGTCACATGCATGTTCAGTAAAGAATCAGAGATGTTTAAAATTATTCCCTGTCGTTACCACAATCGTGAAAATTAAAAACATAACTGACCATAGGAGTTTTCCTCCCCTTCAGTTTTACTCTATGTCAAGAATATGTCCATGTGTTGACAATCTAAATGTTTCTTATTTAATAATGGGTCATCATACAATGACAGAACAAAAGTGATTCATTGCCGAGGACAAGCCAAAGTCTTTGCTGCATTGAAAGTGGTGTAAATCCAAAGCAAGTCAGATAATTTAAAAATTTACTCCAGTTTTGCAGCTGTGTGACAGAGAGCAGAATGTGGCCACATGTTATTTACTTCACACAGTTTTATCATTTCATTTGTTTAACTTGACTACAATAAGATGAGGAAAGAATATATTCTCCTCCTGGGAGTCATTTTAGCAGGGAATCAGTGTCTCCTGTCCTTCAGATGCCATGGGTAATATGATGATATCATTATTACTGGAACAGACTTTTTTTCCCTACATATATTCCATCTATGAAATACTAAGAAAGCCCCCAACTTCCCTGTCAGGGTGAGAAGCTGCTGTGTGCACGTACACTGCTACTGCAGGTCTGCATTTCTTTTTTATTTCTCACAGCTCTAATTCACACAGAGATTGCAGAAGATCATCTGCAGCCTTTCGCTGAATGAAAACGTTAAAAAGAAATAAATAAAGGGAGCTGCCTGCATCTGGGCCCACATTCTTACAAGGCACTGGCCCCTGTTCGGGAGACTCACTGACAGTTGTAATCTGTTAGATATGCAACGGTTACTCATGTCAGATAGTCAAAACTGAAAACTGTTTCAAGACAGGAAAAGGTGGGCGTACAACAGTGACTCAATAAAACAGTCAGCAATCTTCGGCCCATGTGTATATGTGCATTTTTTGTTGCTGGGCTTTTTCCTCTTGCTGAACTCTAAAGGTATTCAATCAACACAAATCTTAAAAGATAAGTAACAGCGCAAACTTAAGGCAGTTTTTTCGAGCCTAATATAGAACAGCTTATATACAAGGCATAATACGGAACAGAGCTTTGGCTGTCAAATCTAGTAATTGGTCTTTCTTTCTGGTCCAAGTCGTATATTCCCAAACCTGCCTGAGACACGCATCATATATTATCAGGAGTGCAACTTCAAACTGTCTTGGCTATATTTTTCATGAACTAGAATATGACATGGATTTATGTTTTTTTTAAGGAAATATAACTGTCATTTAGAGTAAAATGATTTTCCAGGTGTAGCTGTGCTCCAGCTGTGCCCACCTCTCTGAGAGAAGTGGGCTAGAAGGGAGGTCAAGACCCTGGGCAAAGGTGCAAAAATCTCAGGAGGTTGAATTCTGTTTCCTGTGGAGATGCATGGTTGAAGGTGGCTTTCCACAGTTTTGCAGGAAAGGCATAATTTCTCAAATCTTCTGAGAGTTAGGATCACAGGAGGAGTCAGGGGTATATAGGACATCTAGTCTTTGTCCAGTCCTGCCCCTCTACTGTCCCCAGAGGTAAACGTGTCCTGCCAGCACACAGTGTGTGTGTAGGCAGCATTCAGACGTACAACAGCAGCCCTAATGCAGCAAATAGTGCCTCCATGCCTGCTTGTTTAGGGCTGAAAAGAGTCTGTGCCTCTTATGCCTCTCCAAGTAGGAATTCAGCCTATTGCTCACATATATATAATGCACCAGGGACAGGTTTAAGGTCTCCTTTGGCGCTAGCTTGTAATTTTAAAAAGTTCTGACTATTAAATTGTGTGATGATGACATTCAGATCACAGTTACTCATATAATATTGTGAGAATATTATTTGTAACAAAGATACTAAATGGATTTTCCACATACCTTTGAGTGAAGAATGTGGCCTTCAATTTATATGTTGGATTGCTATAAAGTCTATCACAACTAAGAATTAACCTGACAAAATATAAGACCCTGTAAAAGGAGGTCTGCATGATTTTCTACACAAGATACCTCAACAGGATACAGTGGCCAGAAAAAGTGCATACTTTAATAGCAAGAACTACCTCACTTGTGAGCATTTCTAAATTGTCACCTCTCAGCCAACCTAAGATGAACAGGTAAGCACTTAATTTCAAAGGCAAACTGGTTTTGTCCCCTAACTGGTATTCTAACAAATGAAAGCATTGATGAGGTAACACTGCTGAAGCCCTGCCACACTTGGTCAAAAATACATCACTTCATGGCAAGGAGCTGCGGGGCCCTGCCAGTGCTTGCAGGTTCCAAAGCTTTCAAAAGATGGCTGACATATTACAGGATTAAGACCAAAATAAATTTTTAAGGTCCCCTGTGTCAGTGATGCTTATGCCTTCCACAGATATTTCACAGATATCCCTCCATAGCTATGAAATCCTTTAATGCACTTTTTATCACCTTTCTTTATTGCCCTTAGTCATTTCAACTATCCACTTTTAAAGGCTAAACACTAATTGTAGTTCTCTTTTATTAAATTCCCCAGCAAGTAGTCATCTGGCACCATTGCTTCAGTGTGCCTAAACTATGCATTCTTTGTTATTCACACATGTGAGCCAAGCTGACACAGGAGGACGAGGTGGACATATGCTGAAGCACAAGGCAGAGCCCAGAAATTAGCCTGAAATGAGACTCAGCAGCTTGTGTGTGTTGCATATTTTTTCAGTTAGATGCTAATGTGATTATAGTATCAGGACAGAATAAAATTAAGGTTATGATCCTTTGCTTATTGAAGACAGGAATTCTTTCTTCTCTGTGCTGTGGATTGGGCTTGTAAAAGTGAGCTACTGCCACAAAACCACATACACCCAACCTGTGCATACACATAAAGCGCCCAGGTTACCTATGAATCCAGAAAAGGTGTTTAAGAAAAATTATACAAACAAAAACGTGAAGCTTCTGTCAGGCAAGACACATTAATATGTATAAAAAACAAGTTTCTCCACTGAGCCATGGGAAGCAAGAAAAAACGTGGGAGAGGAGGTGAAGTAGTAAGTTGATGATTCAGACTTCACAATCAAATTTAGAGATACAGAGATCAAAGAGCAAGCTGTTTAGAAAGATGTAAATCTAGAGTCAGGAACAGGTGTGGATTAGTTTCTCGCCACCGAAAAATAATTTCTTTATTACTTTATTTTTCCTGTTCTACTTCAAGACCCGTATCTATCGATATTTGTCTAAGTAAGGAGCTTTCTCACTTCTGTTTGCAACTACTGCTTTCTTTTCCTGCTATTTTAAGCACAGTTCGAAAAATCTATCACTAATGATAACTCGTTCTCTTTCTCTCCCTCTGTCTCTCTCCCCCTCTCTGTTCTAAGTCTGGAAGACAAGTCTGGACCAATTTCTCCATCCTGCCTCTGGCAGCAGAATGCAGCATTTCAGATCCTCCACCGAGTCCCGGCTGCTTCAAAGGAAAAGCCCTACTTTCTTCCGTTAAGATCATAAGAAATATAGGGGGAGGGGGTCAGCTCTGTTTGGACATAATTACACTTCATCAAAAGAAGCTTTCTTCATCTTCCATGCGTGAAAAGTCTGCAAGCAGTTAAGTCTGTCTTTTTTCTTTTTTTTTTTTTCCTTTTTTTTTTTTTTTTTAAATATAAAAATTGCTATTTGGGAAACTAGCCAAAACTCAGAAAGCCAATATAGTAAAACAGTGCACACCCTTTGTTTTTCTTTGAAGTCTCTTAAATAAATATGTTGAGGGTTTGAAAGTACACTATCACTTTTCCATAGATTCTACCCAGATTGATCAGAAAAAAAAAAAATCTATTCCAAGTCTGCTAAATAAAAATATAAATTAAACTACTGGAACCAAATTCTAGGAGTTTTGTGTTTGTATGTGTCTGTAGCTGTATCTACTGAGGCCCTCTGTTTCATTTCCTATGCTTTAATAAAAAGTATATATCACAGGTTTCAAATGAAATTCATAGATCAGAGGTAGAACATCACGTTTCAGTTCTTTTTCAACACTACAGAAAGACTGATACACTACTGAACTTTTACTGTAAGGCAGCAGTAGCAATGGAGCCAGAGAAATTTCAAACCTAATCCATCAGCAGAATAACAAAGCAGACTGCTGTTTTTTTTTTTTAAAGAAAGTAAGACAAATGGAAGAGAGAAGTAACACCTTATCCAAAAGGGCAATAAACTGTGTATTTACATTGCACTACTGTTGCAATAGTTATTCTGTCATTCAAGGTATTCTTTATTATCGATATTTTTAAGTTGTAAGGTGAAAAAGAGAATTGTTGGTCAGGTCACTAAAATAAAAAATAGCTTCTGTAAGCCACATTTACGGATTCATTTCAACAAAGCATTTGTAAAAGCCTGCTGACTGATTTAGGATATCTAGCCCTCCATCATACATTTAATTTTTTTTTAGACAAATATCCTTTCCTTTCTTAAGATGAACTGCAACTGCTTTCTAAAGAATATTACTTTCTTAAGAATATGAGCTCTTTTGCTAATTTTCTAGCACAACTGTTAGGCTTCTCTTGCTTTGGTCTGCCCCATACAAGGATAGTTTAAAAAAAATGAATAATTACTTCAAATACATAAAGGCAAAAATATCTAGGCTGAATCACTGACTGATACCACAAACCCCTCTGAAGATTTATGCAGCAAAAACTGAAGTGCCAGCTTCCTTCAAGCTATCCTTGCAATCATTACCTGAAATTTGAAAGTAGCTAAAACACACTTTTAAGAGGAATTCTTGCAAACTTGCAATGATCACAAAGGATTTCTATGAGTGCACTGCAGTTTCCAGATTACAGGAAGCTCCTAAACAGCTGGAAGACAATGACAGCACTCTACATCTTCAAAAAGAAAATAATAATTGGAAGTTACCCTGTCATTTAAAGTACAGGTTAAATTTAGTTCAGCCTAGGTTTACCAGCAAGTCATAAAAAGTCAACCAGTTTACTAAAAAGAAAAGTGGTACTTATTTTTGCAGGTCATATGCAGTTTGATTGTAAAGGGCAGGGAAGTCTCTAGGAAGCTTTCCACCAATAGCTGTGAGCCTTTAAAGATGTAAGGCTTTAAAGAATATAATCTACAGCACATGTGACAGGCAAAACCCCCTTAATTACAGGTCTTCTACAACAACTTCGGGAGCTGCTAAAGGGAATTCTCCATCTCACTGTTGTGGCCTGAGATACCCTCTCTAACTCCACATAACCCACATCACAGATGCCTCCATTTACTTCTACTTTTGCTGCATGATTAAAATAGGGAAGCAGGTATTCTGTGAGTAATTTTTGAAAACCTGTGTCTCATAAAAATCATACAGAGATGTGAGGAGTCAGAAAAACTAAAGAGAAATCCTGAACTTGAACAAAAGTTTAAAATAAAGCATGCCTTCATCTCTTCAAAAGAAAGACTGACAACAATGTATTTACAGTTTGATCAGTATTTCATTGCAAATTAAGTTTGACATCTAGACATTGGCTTTACCTCATTATGGACACACAAAATGCAGTGGCCTACCTCTTCCACTTCTGCCCACAAATCGTAAGTCATTAAACCTGGCCACCTGGTTCTTCATCACAGCTGAAGCATTTCGCAGCTCTGCAGAATAGTTCTCATCGTTTCCAGCCATCACAGTGACCACTGTCCCATCAGGCACTTCTCCTAAGGCCACCACCTGTTAAAACGGGAAGACAACCACAACTTGTGAAGCAACACTTTGAAAATGCCTGTCTCCATCCCAGCTCTGCAGGCTGCCATGCTCCTTACAAAGCTCTGTGGCAGCTTCTCCAGCCCGCTGTGGTGAAGAGTCATGTTTTAGGTGAACACAGAACAAAGTGCCACATCAAACAAAGGAACATCTTGTATTATCTCCCTTTCTCATAGCCTAACAGGGAGCTTCTTTTTTTACATTTCTTCAGAAACATTTAGCATCCTTATACAGACTGTATGGTTTAATGTTTCCTGAAGGCTAACTTTGTTCTTAGCAACCAGTGAGCAGCCAGAAAATAGGAGGCATGGGTTGTATCCCTAAATTATACACAGGAGCACATTTGAAATGGAAAGTTAGAAATTACTATTAGCAGCCTCATCATCCAAATTTGGTTCTGCTTCTCTCTTGATTGCACCCATCAACCTGACCCCGGAGCACCTCAGACTTCAAGCCAGAGAGAAACCCTCACCTACCCATCCCGGGAGTGATACCGGCGGCATTATCATACAAAGCTCTCCACCTAACAAGCCAGTGCAGTGGAGCACTTCATGGCTGGAATTTGAACTCTTCAGATGCAATATAAAACAAAGGCTGTCTTTCCTTGCAGGCATGTAAATTTTCATAGTGCTCGCAAGAGTTGCATGTGGTTACCACTGATACCTCCCTTAAATTCCAGGATAGGTGAATAGGAGATATTAAAGCATTTCTCCTTATGTTTCAACTAGCTGATAGTCTCATTTTTATGCTTCAGTGGGTGCATAGTGCTCCAACATCTGATTAGATAAATGCCACGGAGTAGACAGCTCCTGTCTTCTAATTTGAGAACACCAAGCACACCTAAAGCATTACCGCACCATGACTTTTTAAAGCAAAAATTAACAGGAATAAGGACCACTAAGTTACTAGAAAGAAAATATATGTGCTTCTTCACACGGGGTAAAAAAGTCCACAAAAAGTACCAAGAAAACAATGTCCTTTTGCCCAGTTAGCTAACAGCAATAGTGGAAATTCAAGAGATTTACAAATATTGCATTGCTGAGCTCTAACTTGAAAAAAAATAAATTCTGAGATACAAAGTCTCTTCCCTTGTAGTTTCTACCAGTTTACATGGTCAGTCATGACTTTTTGTATCATTGACAGTAACTGACTGTTCTCCTGAAACCTATATTTTGTCATGTCTTGCTTGAAATGTCTTTGCCATAAATGATCCTGTGTGAAACAAATAATTGCAGGTTGCGCTTTAATATTAAGTGGAAAGAATGAGGAGCTCTGAGTATAAAGATAGAGCATTACGTGGCCCAGTGCACTGTACAATGTTTCTCTACAATAGTAAGTAGTTAATGATGGAAGGTATAAAAAATCTGAAAATATTTAAAATAGACTATAGTTCTGAAAAACACAGCTCACCTTATTTAAAAAAACTATTGAAGAGAAAGAAGAAAGCAACCTGAAATGCTGTATAAAAAGGATCTACCCTGGTGCTCTTCTGTTTTTCCATAAAAGATCAGGTAATACCACCCACAACTTTAAATTGCGTTTTGCCACAAAATGCTGTGAAGTCTGTCTATCAAGCAAAGATTTTACTTTAAAGTGATATGAATGTCCCTAAAAATAAAAACATAGGAACCACTGCTGCTGATAAGATCTGAGGTCCCACCAGCTCACTGCCTAGGGTGTGCCAGCAGCCACGTCTGACAGCTTCAAAGAGAGGTGTAAGGAACAATAAATAATAATAATCACATAACAAATAATAATCTGCTGAGCAGATTACAGAGCTGACTCTAACCCTTAATAAATGGATATTGCCTTAAAGCCCAATGCTTGAGACTACTTGTAAAACGCTCCCTTCCCAGTTTGCAATAGATCACATTATCTCTGGACAGTCTTGTCCTGCTATTCAGCATCCAGGGGAGCTGCAACCTATGTTTTTCATATCTCACAAAACAAAAAATAAACCACCAAAACAAAACAATCAGTTTATCTCCAGAAATGCAAAGAACCCGAGAGCACAGGAGGAAGTGTGAGTCTGCCAGGGGCCTCGGAAGAGGGAGCAAAATGACTGCAGCTCCAGCTCACCTCCTCCTCTCTGGGTACCCACAGCACGGAGCTGCCAGTGGCATCATCTCTCCCTCTCAACTCAGTCTCCTGAACACGGGTACACCTTGCAACACTTGGGCAGGAGGGCACAACACCTCTTAAAAGGCTCCCCCTGCCCTCCTGTTGCTTTTCAGAGCTTTCCTCCCTGTCCTTTCCACTCGACGATGTCAGTTCAATTTGTCAGCTCAGGCATCTCCCTAAAACTGCACGTGCTGCTGCCAGAGTCACTGGGCTGATTGCGCCTCATCACGAGCTGCATCATTACCAAATTGCACCAGGTTTTTGGTGCAGTATGATGCAGTATTGCAATCTGTCCCATTAGGAGAAGACCAAAGGAAAATACAAACTGAAATCAGAGGTGAAAATAAAAACTTTGGCTAATAAAGTCCTATTACATAGGAAACTTCCCTGCTATGCACCAGGAGCAAGATGCTTGCTTTTTTCATTATTTCAAAACTTTTTTGCCATGAAATACCAGAAGACTATTGCACACCTGCATATAGCACGGGTTAGAAAAAAAGCTTTGCAAAACAAGTTTGAAACCTGATGAAATGCATATCATTTAGAGAATTTAAAAAAGTAACTTTGCATGCCGAAAGACAGTTGGCGGAAAGCTTGATTGGGTAATATTATGCCATGTATCAATCAAAATTATTTACATATTCTTAGAAGGAGGATTGTAAGTGCACTGTGAAATGAGTAAAGACTGTGTAAGAAAAAATAAAAATAAAAAATTAAAAATTGCCACAGAACACAATCTTTATTTATTCTTCAAACACGAGTATCTCTACTATTTCCAAATCTTCATTTTCCGTATTGAACTACCTATGCATTTTGGTGATGAAAGGTAGATTTTGCTTCCTTTTTTTTTTTTTTTTTAAGCTCGAAAAAGATACACGAAGTTTGATGAAGCCACATAATAAAATCAAACCAATTCTTGCATGTTGAAAATAACGACGTATTTTTTGCATAACACAATTCTTGTCTGGTTAGGCAACCTGTTTGCCCAGTTTCGGTCCAGTGGGGTTTGGACTGGTCAAAGTATGTACCCTAAAGCTGGAAGTTATAAGCAAGAAGCAAAACTACTGTACAAACACAGGTACTAAAACTTTCTGCAGAGTCAAATGCTTGTTTCAACAACAAAGCCAGTGTACATGCTAAATAAATAGTTGGTTTCAGACATCGATATCTACCACTTCAATAATTTTTCTTGTGAAACTTTGAATCCAACAGCTTCCGAATGTAAAATCTTCTGCCTATTCCAGCAATTGCCAAAAGAGCATCTGATACTATGAAAAACATTTTAAGGCTCTCTAACTTAAAACAGAATAACTGACTTGCACAACTTTTTGTTTCAAAATGTACATCTGGGCTGACAATTCATACAGCAGGTTTCAGCTTGAAGCTATTTAAAACAGCTGAGTTATAAACTCTGAAAATTGGAGTTCGGAGTAGAAATGCTGACAGACCCTCAACTACTGTGATGCTACTGGGGAGAGGTTTTAGACTTCATGTCTCCTTTATTTTCCCCTGCCTTCAGGTCCACTCGGGCTCTTTGCTGCTATCAGCATCATACAGAAACCACTTGTAACATCTAACACGGCAGTTCGGGTCTTTATGGCTTTCAGTAAAAGCTCCCAGGCAGACACATAAACAGAAGGCCAAATTCTGATGACTTGACTCAAATCCAAGTACCGCTGGCTATTCAGATGAAGAAGTGAGTATAATCTGGACCCAGACACACAATATATACTTCTTTTATGCTGGAGTATCACTAGATAGAGCTATATTAATAGGTAGATGTCTAATACTCTTCCCCACAAAGTCAGTTTGCATTAACAATTCTATTAGTACACTCACCACAGACTCCCTCTCCAGTGCATGTAAATATTAACACCTAAAATTAAAAACTAATACTAAGCCAACATTATTTTTAAAAATTATAATCAAACCCAGCACTGTTTATGACATACTTCCTCTCCTGCATGTGATTTATATCTATTTTTTTAAATTAAAACAGTTCTATGTCCATAATACTTTTTAACTAGACATCACTGTGAGAGAATTATGACACACTTAACACACCACTCAAAACATTATCATCAACATACTATTTATTGCCAATAAAACTTCAAAAAGTGTGTTGTCTGTGAGCTGTTTTACTTTCAAGTTACTCTTCAGTTGAGATTTCTATAGCCCAAATCTGTCTGTTTTTTTTTCCTTTTCAGAGATAATTCCCATTCCGTCATATCACAGTCAAGTGTTGATACTTGCAGCTTCTTCAGTCTAAAAGTACTGGCCAACTGCACCCAAGTTACACTTGAAAAATGAAGGAAGGCTTTTAAAACGGGTCAAAATTATTTCAACGCATTTTCAAATTAATTTACCAGTAAATAAGGGGGTGTGTGTCTTTGGCGTATTTTAAGCACACATCACATAGTGCATGTGAAAACACAGATGCACCCACAGCAGAAGGGGGCAAGGGGCAATGGACACTCAGTAAATTGGTCCTATCTACACCTCCCTGCCAGCAACCAAATACAAGACTGAAATATAGGGTATCTATAAATATATGAACACAAAAAGATTGAGAAATGCTCTTTTTCTAGCCTTTTATCACATGGAAGCATTCTCATTGTAATAACATTTTAAATACTTTACTATTTAGTTTAGATCTTTCCCTTATTCTAATGAACTGCAACCGCATCTTTTGAATTGCTGTAAGGTAAGAGAAGGCTCAGACATCTCAAATTAAAACTGCAACGCGAATAATGTAAAAGCTCTCGTGTCCCTTCTATAAAGAGTAACTATAATACCAGCTTAATCTAATGATCAATTAAATTGTAATCACAGATTTCCAAAAGCTCCTCCTCCTTACCCCGCAGCCCCTGTGAATCAGAATCACCGTGGTCTACGCCTAGAGAGACTTTGAGTGCTACACCAAGTTACGAAAACAGAAGACACCCCATTTTCTGCCATTCCTACGTGGAACCCACACAAGCAGGCCCCATGCAAAGGGCTCCCCTGCAGCTCTAGGCTCTCCAGGCTGCCTGCCCCACACAGTAGCACTTCAGTCAACTCTAGTTTGCACCTCTGTAACATTATCAAAGCAAAACTTCATCTTTATCACCAGTCATCTTAAGCTCTTGCTCATTTAACCACTTCTACTAATTTTTGCCAGATGAAAGTCTGTGAACGTCCAGCTATCAATGGGGAAACACAAGAACAAGGCAACGTTCTGGAAAAGCGCTGGGTGAGCCCGTTTCCAAACTCTTCTATATTTTGAGCTATTTCCAGATGCCTTATTTTTCCTGACAAGCCCCTCCAAGAACACCACTCCCTGCCTCTGACCCCGCAATCCTCTCGGGCAGGTGCTGTGGGACACCTAAGCCATCACCCTCTC